CTTCAGCAGTCACTGTGGACTGCGGCAAAAACTCTGTCTCTGTACGATGGATTAATGTAAACTCTCAAGTGGATCCATCCCTCCTCCGCTTAGGTGACTGTCCTCCAACCCAACTTTCAGTAAATCCTCAAGGGTCCGAGGCAGTGTTCTATGCTGAATTTTTGACCTGTAATATTAGGAGGCTGGTGAGTTCGGTGAAGAATTTCACTGTAATTCCTTGTTAGTAAATGGTAACCGATTTGTCATCTGATTTATTCGTGTTTGGAAGTATGAGCCACTGAGCTATTAGTTAGTAACTCTTTCCTATGAGGCGCAAAGTGTACTTAACAGTTCTTAAAAGGGAATTCTTTGTGCCATATTCAAGTCTTAAAACTTTGGGTTGTTGGAGTTATTTGTACATGTAATAAGACATGGCTAGAAATTACTGAGATCTGTTTATCTGCTGTGAAAAGTAACACCGCTTGTTCATGTTGGATTCAGCAGTGCTCTATTACAAAAGGTCATGTTTATATTTTAATGCATTCAAATGGCAATGAAGTATAGAAAAGTATTAAAGTAATTTATTCTCTATTTTTCCCTCCATAGGTGACAACCAATGAGATTATATTTGAGACTGAGATCACTTCTCCCACATTGTCAAAAGCAACACCAATTTATTACCCTGTAGCCTGTGCATATGAAAGGTGACATCTTTGTTTATTAAAATGAATCTGAAGACCCTCTTTTAATGGCATATTGCTGCTTGAATACCTTTTATGATTAATGCAGATCAAAACTGCTGCCTTTCTTTCAGGGAAGAAGACTGGGCTCCTCCTTTGTACGATCCTCTGCTGTTTCATACACATGGCCAGGGAGATCTGGCATTTCGTATGGCTCTCATGAAGGGTATGTATGCACTTTGTAATGAGACGTTCTTGATGACTTGAATATGTAATGGTCTTACAGCTTTCTCTTTGTAGATGACTTCAGTGGTGTGGCCACTACCACAACCTTCTCACTAGGCTCAATGATCCCAATTGCTGCCTCAGTCGCCCAGCAGAACCATCAGCCATTAATACTGCTGCTGGATGAATGTTTGGCTTCCACAACACCAGAATTGGCTCCAGATTCTCATGTTTACCCACTCATTACCAACAAGGGGTATGTGTGTAGACAAGATGTGCCCTTTCTGAAGCCAAAAATGTTTCCATGTGATTAGCAGTGTTCTTAGTCTTAATACCCTTTAAAACTGCTGATTATTATTATTATTATTTTTTTTGCGCTTTAAGGTGTCTTGTAGACAGCAAAAATACAAACTCCAGGTTTCTGCCAAGAAATCAGTTGTCAGAGATCAGGCTGAGTCTTCAAGCTTTCAAGTTTGCCACTGGAGAAGATGCAAGTTCACTTGGTTTATTTACTTTATCTATTTATTCATTCGTTTGTTCAAGTGTTTGAACTTATTTTGCATCAACATCCTCAGGTCTACCTGCACTGCAGGCTTGTGGCATGGGAACCAAGGGACCTGGATAGTGGCAATAAAGCTTGTCAATATGACAGGACCAGCTCACGGTATGATAATTTAAAATCGAAAGCCTCTGGTAGAACTTATGAAAAGGCTCTCTCTTTTTACAGATGGGTGCTGGTTGATGATCCATCCCAGAGCTCTCTCTGCAGCTGCTGTGACACTAACTGCCAAGGAAGAAAGAAAAGAGGAATAACAGCAGGTCACTGTTCCCTATTTTTGCTTACAATCTTTGTTACTATATATGTATATGTGCTATTTCATGAGTCCATGTGAATAGTGTTATTGAGTTTTACTACTGAACATGAACTGACTGATTGCATGATCTACAGATTCCACAGCTGTAAATTCTGTTATTGGGCCTCTGGTTATTATTTAAAACTGAGGACTGAGTCATACCTTAATGGAGCTTACAAGGTTTGATATTTTGTTGCTTTATTGCTTATTTATATTGCTTTATATTTTATATTGTGCCTTTCCCCTCTTTTTTTCCACTGACCACTATTCAATGTTGAATTATTTCCAAAGATGGGCCTCCAAGCTACTGGTTGTTTTGGACGTCCAGGTGGAGCTGATCCTATTCAACAGTTGTGATTCTTAATCTAAATAAACGGTTATAAATGTGGATGTT